AAAAAAAAAAAATTTGTCTCGCCAAATTATCTTCTTCCTGCTATGTTAATCCATTCTCTTTGACTTTTTATTTAAAATTGAGTAACATACTAGTGATCCTCATATAGGATATATGATAGGATATATAGGATATATATCCTCATATAGCATTATTGCGACAATAAGAATGCTTTAAGAACGCGTGTGCATGCACTTGTCATTATTTTCCATGCACGTTTCTTATTTTCTTTTTTTTATTTATTAGTATTCATTTTTCTGAAAAGCATATCAGATATACAGGGTTTATCTGTCTCTTGAACATATATATACAAAATGCCATTCACATATAGCTTATAAGTCCGAACCATTTTAAGTAGTTTAAAAAAAAACAAAATTATATTTTCACAAGCGATGATACACCTCTATTTCCATGACATGTGAATAATTCTCGACTTTTTTGCATGTGCCTTCTATCTCACATAATACAGAAATTATATATATGTATACAAAGATGACGATAATACTCGATATTCAACGCAACGATGAAAAAGCTGTTTTCTGTCGCAACTATCTCTATCGCTTTTAATACAATGCTTTGTAAGAATTAAGGCCGCTTCATTGGCTCGCCGACTGCTTCGGTGAGACTATTTAAAAAAGCGCAATTTGATACGTAAACTTGTATCAAATTGTTCATTGTATTCAGTCTCATTGCCTGTTGGTAATTGTTTCTGCAAAATTGTGTGCGAAATAAAACATATTTTTATATTTTGGGCATTTTTCTATTTTCCTGTATCCTGTTTCTATTTCCTGTTTCCTGTATATATGAGATTCTGTGTCACATGCTTTGAAATACCGTTTATTTTAAAATAAAACGTAAAAAAGAAGCCTAAAGTCTAATTACAAAACTAGTAGTAAAAGTTTATCTCATTAATTGGTTTTCTTGGCAAATGAAAATTTTCTGTTCTTTCTTGTCCCACATTATTTCTCTACTTGTCGCACAGTATCGTTTTCTTTGTCTACGAACTGTGAAGGTTTAGTCCTTTTAATTAATAAATATTACGAAGTTTAATACCAATACAACTATTATTTATTTAATTTATATACAATATGATTCCGCTTATTTGAAAAATGCGCGCGCTGCTACAGAATAATGCTGATGCTGCCATCTATCGGACTTTTCTTTTTTTCTTTTTAGTTCCAAAGAGAATTTAGAGGTGTTCAGATGGCAGCACTTCCGTAAACGAGGAAGGCAATAGTGTGCACAATGATAGAAATAGAAATTAGTTCTCTCGTTTCACCGCTACGTGATGCTAGTATTTCAGTGTCCACGATTCGGCCGGATTTTCATTTGAGGAAAAAAAAAATCTAATTAAAGAGATTGATCTGTAAATTTTTACTGTTGAATCTTCCAAATTAGACCGTAAGCTTTCATCCTGTAGTTCAATTTCATTTACGAATAAAAAATGCACGGATACACGAATAAAAATTCGTAAATTCTACCAAACAGATCGAAGAAGCATTTGCACGAGCAACATTCAACCTCTCGTGAACTGTGTTCGAAATTTGGATTAAAGTCGAACGTAGATGTAACTAAAAGCGTAAACTTTGAAATACGTGCACGTGGGATGGAAATTGAATTACGTTAAAGTCGACATTTAATTCGAAAAGCTTGACAGATTGTTCTTCAGTGAGAGCATCATTATCATTTTTTCTTGGAAGGTGATTAAAGTTTATTTTCTGTTTCTCGTTGCCAAAGGACTGTGTTTTCACTGTATCTGCCGCTGTATTTTCGAGCGAGCCACAGACCATAAACCCATGCCCTAGAGAAATCACTGCGACACTGTGCACATGTTGGGTGAGAGTGACTTCTCCTTCCAGATTGTCCCTCGTATCTACTGTTCGAAATCATCGTTTCAGAATTAACCGTCACGTAATAAGAACAATGCTACTGACTTTACCATGCTTGACGAATGAGTTGGATATAATTTTTACGTTGGCCGTAGCAAGTCGCAGGGAGCGTAAGAAACACTCACATTTTTTTGGACGTCGGTAGTCGGAACGTGAGGCACAATAATGTCATGTCTGTTTTGTCTTTAGTCGATGTTTCGGCTTTATTTGTCAAGGTTAAGCCAGGGATTTCATCAGCTTCTCACATGAATCACGTGACTTGACCGAGTCAAGTTCAAAATTCGTGATACAGTGTATACCGAAATGATCGAGCTATGCACGAAGAAACGAATGTTAATTGGCATAACACTGTTAGGAGGGTTAGTTACGTTCTATACTTCTTTGCACGTTAC